GGTCTCTAGGTCTTTCCATGTGTCCTCTGATTGCCTGTAACTACCATTATCAAGACATGTACCACAAGAACTCTGAAAGTGACATCAATTAAAATTATGCACATGTTATTTAAAGGTTTTATCCATGAAATATTATTTAATAAAACTAAAAATATGCCTGAAATCAATCATTTCGAGGAACTTGTTTTGATATTTGCTGCCTAAAACCTACATGTAAATAGAGTCATAGAAGAAAGAACAGAGAACTTGTACCCTGTTTGGTGTGCATTGGATTGATGTCAATCAGACAAAATTTGTAATTTTTGTCCCATCCGAAAAAGTGAAAAAGACAGAAATGTCCTCATACTCATCATCAAAAGTTCCACCGGAACAAAAAGGTCCTAAAGATGAAGCATCATCTAATCAATGTCAACCATGTAATTTGAAAGAACAACAATGAGCACATTCCCCTAATAAAAATACAAAAGTGGGAAATCAGAAAACTTATCACTAAACCTCATAATAACAAAAAAAAACAACTCCACATGATTTAATGATTTCAAGACCAAAAATCCTTTTGACATAGTTTAAAAGATCAAGGATGGCTCATAAGCTGACAATTGTCAATATATATTTTTTGGGAAGGAAATTTCGATATATTTGAAAAGAATACCTGAATTACATCTACAATTGATATAAAACTAGTGTTAGCCCGAGCTTGAAATTGCGGATTGCCTCAAAGTTCTTTGTATATTGGGTATCTTCATTCAGTTTCGTTTGTATGTAAAAGAAGAATACATAATTCATATATATGCAATAAAATGACCGTTTTACCCTTCTTAGTTATGTCTGGAGTAAGTGCTGATAGACAAAGATTGTTTCTTTTCTGGTCCTAAACATTCCTTGTCAACTCAACCGTTTTTTACAAAAATGCAGTTATTTTTTAGGTAAAAAAAATTGAAAATAACTTACATGAATCTTGGTAGTAGTCTTTAGATCAAGGAAGGATTTGACTGTGTTCCACCTAAGCCTAAACCCGGAACATAAATTATTCAACATACAAGAAAATGGAAGTGAAATAAAAAAAATAAAGTTGTGTAAAGAAGCAGACTAGAAGTCTCCCAAGCATGTGAATTGTGATGCACTGACCTGAAGTTTTTTATAGATATCCAAAATTTCCAATTAATGGAAAGCACTGACCTGAATTGTGATTGTTTATATTGATTCACTGAAGAGATCGCATACCTTCCACCTGTAAAAGAAATACAAGATTGTTGGCCAAATTACAATAATATCCTTCAAATTTATAACTAGTTTACTACCACCAATGTTTCTGTAAAGTACAAAATGATAAAGAATAATTGCAACAAAGAAAAGGACCCTTATATTATCTCCAAGTGAAAAGAACTTGACAAAATATATTATTAAAAAACAAGACATTCAATGGAGAACTTCTAACCGGATGTCCCATTTCCGTCCTTCCTCTAGTAGTGATGTAAGAGTAAATCTATGTGTTTCATATCCCTGTAAAGTATGTAGATTATATAAGAATGGTGTTATATATGTACTCATAAACATTATTATGAGAAATTTGATTTCATACCAAGGCCAACAATCACCATCTAATTGCTTGTAAATAATATATGTGACCATCACTGTTTTTAATCACACTGTCCTTCTGAAAACAGAAGTCCTATCTGTAAGAATAAAAGAATTAACACTTTAAAGTGCTTAAAGAAATTGCAAATCATAAAAAAAAAGGTAAACTTTATCCTTAATGTGATCTTGAAGAACCAAGGACACAAGTATATGAAAAATTACAAGTATGTCTACCTCTCTAGAGTATTAGAAAAACACCCATAACATAGAGGGGCAATATCGGAAAATGAACATGATATCAAATTACCAATATTATGATTATCTTCTTGACATCTTGCTTGTTTAAATAGCCCAATCCTTGAAGCAAGAAACATACTTTAAGCATGTAATTTGGCTTAATGATTACTATTGTGACAACCAAAGATTGTCCAGTATGATGGTTTGTATATGTCATGGATTCTAGGATCCATGATTGAGTCTAAAGAGAGGGTATCATCAATTAATTACAATGTATGATTAGAGAAACTAAATTTACTTTCATTAGGAGAAATGAATATGTACCTTCATATGGGAATCTTAGTTTGAAGTATCACAAAGCATGAAAACAAAGAAGACCTGAATTAGGCATAATAATGCGGTTTGTAAGAAGTAACAAACTAATGACAAGATATCTTTTAGCAATCTAGTTGGGGTAGGTTACGATGAAATTCATAATAAATTACCAAAGAGGCATATACTATGAGTGTTTGGAACATCAATATATAGCTTTATTTAACAATGATTTCCTAAAATACATAAGTATTTGATACTAAAGTTTATTGGTAAAAGATTGGAAGTGGCTTCTTTTTCTTGATCGGGTGTAAGGATGACCAAGGTTTTTGCTTCCAGAGAACTTATATATAATTATATATTACCATCATATTATGAAATGAAAAACCTTGTATATAAGGAATTATCAACTTCACAAGTGAGTGAAACTCACATGGATAGTTTTTCATTCTTTTGGTGCAGGAAAAAAACTTACAACATGTAGTTTTTTCGAGCTCTTGATAGCCATTTTAAGATTTTCCAATGTCTCTTGATGAAATTCAATGTCACCTTATGAAAAATCAAATCGTGCAACTACACATACAAAAAGAGAGAAATAAGAAAGTATCAGTTAAGACACTTAAGACAGTACATGAAGCAATACATCAGCAAGTTCATTATAGAAAACTTGCCAAATTAATGAATGCAATTTCGGTTCATCTATACAAGTTCAATTAGTTTCCCTAACATAAACATGATAAACAAAAAGCAAAACCCTCCAAAACCAGAGATGTATTTCCACTTGTGTTGTCAAATAACGAGCAACTGAGTGAGATGCTTAGATATTTGAATGAATACAATGGAAATGTGTTAAATTGTAAGAAAACGAAGTTCTATTAGAGAATTGAATCTTCAAAGTTAACATAAAATTAGGATAAAGTCAAAATTCAAAATTTTGACACATTTGACCCTGAAGTTAAAATGCATCTCCTATAAACCCGAGGTAGTTCTAAATCCTAAATTAAACAATAGAAAGTGAAGAGCACCTGACCTACCAACTTGAAGGCAGCTCGAAATGATTTCAACGGCTCGCGATTTCGGGCCCAAGGTCCCAACGTTCTTCGCCATGGCTAGAAAGAAGTCTAGACAAAAGTAATCAAACAGGCGTCTCATTTAGATTTACAAAAAAGTTGAAAAGGAAAATAACTAGACAAAACAGTCTCAACTTTTCCAATAACGTCTAACCTAATACCGAAAATTATCACATAAAAACTCTGGCAATCTCACAAGTTCGAAATTCAAGCAATCAAAGACATGATTACTAAAATATACTGAAAATATTTTGACCTGGGAGCTTACAACAATAAAAAGAAAAAATAATAATAAATTGTAATTGCAGCGGTTGGAATTTGATCCTTACATGTTTAGAAGCCACTTATACACCAGTAGAAACCAAAATTAGGAGTTGATGAATACTACTTGAGATTTGCTCGTGTTTACGATCAAGGATAAAGGAATGGCGTTGGCATGGGAAAAAGTGAGTCAACAGGGGGCGATGCAAGTGGACGGTGGCAGAGGTGATTTTCTGGGCAGAGGAGGGATTTCAGTGGACAGAGATTCATTTAGGGGTTTGGGATGAAATTGTTCAGAGCTTTGGGAAAAAGGTAGAGGGAATTAAAACAAAATGGGGGAATGAAAATAAATAAATAAAGAGAAGCGGGAATCAAAATAAAAGGAGGGAACGGAAAAACGAAGAAAAGCGGGGAATGAAAAACAGGAGTTGTCAATTTTCTGCGAGAGATCAGCGAAGGCCAAAAAAAAAGGTGTGTGATTTTAGTAATCCGTCATTGTTCTCTCATTAGGATGTTTTAATTGCGACGGATTAGCGAGCAAACGTTTTTTTGTCAATAAATCCTTACAAATCTGTCATTGATCCATCGCTAATACCTCTCTAAAATTCTATAAGTATTTTGTTCGAAATATTTGTGAATTCTGTCGCTGTTCCCTCAATAATCCGTCTCTGATTTGCTACAGATAGATTCCGTCTCTAATTCCATCGCCTGAAAATCACGTTTCTAGTAGTGTGATATAAGATGTACAATTAGGATTTCTAAGATATGGATGTCAAAAATGGAACATTTTGCTCCTTAACTTGCAAAATAAAACTATGTGAATTTTATGTAAGCATCACGTCTAACACTACATGGCCATTTCTTTAGAACAGCTAACACACAACCCTATTTTTCTCCTAAACTACATTTTTCTGTATAAAATGTTACTTGAACAAATAATCTATGGTTGAGGGACACCCTTCCACCAACTCGGATACTGCTATGCTTCAAGCCCAGGTATATGACCATGTTAATCGATTAAAACACGGAGAAGTGACATGATTGGAACAAAATCATATATTAGTGACATAGATGTACGATAGAACGAAACCATAAGCTAGAAGTACAATGTTGTGGAGTGTAATTGTGCAAAATTAAAATTGTTGTTCCTAGATGACATTAACTCGTTTTAAGTGTGATTATTATATAAGGTATGTTTGGTAAAACCGGCTAGTAAGAATCTGGAAGTCTAAAGTTCTAGTTTTATTTGTATACTTAAACGGTTCAATTTAAAAATAAAAAAAATAAAAAAATAAAAAAAAATCAAAAATCAAAAACCAAATGGTTAGTTTTCCAAAACAGTTTGGTTTTTGTTTTATGCCCATCCCGTGGGTGGATATGACATTTTTTTTTTCAACTGAATTTGCTTCTTCTTTTATTGTGGGCGTGAATGGTTCCATCACTTCCATGGGGTAGAAGTTAAACAGAAAACAAATATTTTAATGGATCTATCTATATATATTAGTTAAACCATAAAACAAATCATGACTCGTGAATTAATTAGTCATCACCATTCATTTAGTAAGGTCCAAGTTTAACTCTTCACCAGACATAATATATTTTATTACACATTACGAAAAGCAAAAGTTACAAGATTAGCTAAAAGATCTATCACTTATCAAATCAGGAAAAAAAAAAGTCAATCATACGTAGGTCTTTCTCATTAACTCTAGAAAAAACAGCTAGTTTGCACGTCTAAAACCCCATCTAACTTGGGTACCTTTTGTGCATGATTAAGCATGTCCTAGTGCTACCATCATAGTCGTTTTTCTAGCCTCACGTTTCGCCACTTCCGCTTTTCCACTACCACGGAAATACCTAAAAACTTCCTGCATGTCGAAAAAGAACATATCAGGGTCAGGGTCAGGATCAGGATCAGGATCAAGATCAGGATCAGGGTGAGGGTTAGGGTCCTCACTTGTGAATTTTCACCTTGAACTAGTAATACAAGTATGAGGGGACAAATGTACAAAAGTTAAGTGCATTAAACTCAAGAACCTGAATAACCCATATGCTTATAGTTGATTCAAGAGCAAAGAGTCCGAATCCAACAAAATAGAGAACCTGAAAATGAAAACAAAAATGACCACCTTTCTTTTCTTCAATTTCCTTTTCTGTTTTGTGGGGTCGGTATTGATTTTAGGGTTACATACAAGAAATAACAATGTACTTTCATTTTTTTTTGGAACGAATGTGTACTTTCATTGATTTGTCCATTATAACATCCTACTTCCATTTCTTCATGTTACAATATTATACTTCACAAAAAAAAAAGTCAAGAACTTACCCCGTCCAAAAAATTACCAGGTAAAATAGCAAGTGCTGGCATAATTCCGCTGAAACATTTAAAAACAACTCACGCATTATTATAAATTTATAATTAAAAGGTTACTGTTTTATTTAATGGACTTAATCTGGTAAGCTATATAAGGGTGTTTCCTTTTGACTTAATAGAGAAAGTTGGGGAAATGAGGCTTTTCCCATCAAATCCTTGCTTTTTACAAATTTGCTCTTGTTTATATTGTCTTCCATTTCCCAGGTGTGGTGTCATATTTTTAAATAGTTTTTAAACATCATTTATCCAGACAACAACTTACGTGAGAGATTTTCCTTTGAAGATCATTGGAGGAGCAATAGCAGCGTATACACAGAAGCCAATGTGACACTATACAAACAAAAGGATATCAACAATCAACCACAATAATCATCACACAAAACTTTAAATAAAAAAAAAAATGAAAGGAGCTTACTGTATATGCAAAGAAAAAGAATCCAAACATCCAAGTATTGTCGGTCCTATTGAGAAAAAGCACAAGAAAAGTATTTATATTTATACAACAACCATGCATGCATGACTAGTCATATTAAATATAGGGCTAAATGCTATAATAAACAAATAAATTAAAGTATGTTGCTACTTATTGCATTTACCTAATAATAGCATGTATGTAATTACTAAAATAGCCCTTAGGGTTATACCTCATAGCACGATACAATGGACGATACCACAATATATAGGCCCCAGGAACTCCTGTTATGAGGTATATAACAGCAAGCAACCAAATTTCTAGGTCTACAAAAATGAAGAAAATACAAAGTAGTGTGCTTAAAATGTAATATAGCAATAAGCGAGGGTCTTGTTATTAAAACTTCAGGAATAAGAAGACATTGTATGAGTAATATAAAGAAACCTTCGCCTTGAAAGCATATAGAGGAGACTGCTATAAAATTCCATACGAGGCATGCTACTATACCTGAAAAAATATCACAATATTTAGACTCATGCATATATAGCAACGTATTTTCGATGATAATGATAAGGAGGGCATTTATGTCTTTTACACAGATGAGAGATCCAAAGTGAGTCCGTGTTCGACAACAAAAAAATTGCAAATTTTGTCAATGGGACAAAAATTTTATGGGATGAATTTAATGTTGATAAAAAAAAAAAAAAATAGATTTACATACCTAGCAACGTTGTAAATGCAACATATTGTGTTCTTTGTTGTTGAACAGGTATTTCCTTTGGAATGTCGTGATGAATTAGAGGGAAAAATGGTGGCCAATTTTTTACCTCTACGTTATTTCCAGCTGCATAAATCATCATGAATATAAATATATTTGACTTTAAAAAATACATAGATACAAACAGGCTATATTGCGATGTTCAATTTCATTTCATGATGGAGTGAAAAAAAACACCTACTAACCAATGAAAATTAACAAAATGGAAGTAATCATATTCCTTCAAGAATGGTTCATTCAATTCCATGAGACAAAAAAATACAATTTTGTTTTTTAAATTACAATGGGATGAAGCATTCCATTCTTAATTCCATCATGATAAACACTACGTATGTATAAGAAAGAAATGACATTACCTCGTACCATTGCATCCTCCTTTCTCTTCACTTCCTGCACTAATAAATATTACGTGAATATAAATTATAAAACATACCCACTTCTTTATATTTCAAAATATTTTTCAACATTATCATTGTTTGGTTAGCAGAATATTTTGTAAATATGTAAAAGTATTTGGAAAGTAAATAACAACAAATGGAATCATTGTCGTATAGATTCATTTTTTGTATATTGTTTGTCTTATTCATACATATTACTAACATTCATCTTTTGACTGAAATTCATAATGTACATGTAGAAAAGTTTCAAAAATTACTAGCATATGAAGGGAAAGAAGAAACACCTCTTCCCTTCTATTCAATTCAGCCTCCTTGTCTTTGAGTTTCTTCTCTTTGGCTCTCAAATCCTAGCAAGACAAAATGGGAGTAAAAACGATTAACCCCAATCCATTATTAACCTTACTGATCAACTGTTTGAAGTTTTTACTATTTACCGAGGCGCTGTCAAGAGGAATATCGACTTTAGAACCATCATCAAAGTCAGCAGCTTCTGAACTCGAGTCCTAATAATTTCATTAAAATAAATACAAACAATTAGAATTGGAATTGGAATTGATAATTGAAGATACGATTCAATGACGAAGGCCCCAACAAAGAAACCCATCTTCATAAAATTCAAAATTGCAGACTAAAGAACAAGAGAAGATGCAATTTATATGGTAATAGAAACAGGAAGGAGATTACCACAGCAAAGGGGTTGGATTCATCTCTAACTGAGGGATTAGAATCGTAAGGAGGGTTACCCATGAAATGAAATCACAAAATGGTAATTACGAAATCTACGATCACTTATGCAATGAATGGGGCATGAAGATTTTTTGAGTATTTTGATGTGTGTGGTTTTTCAGATCACAGTTTGGTTTGGTTTGAGATGCATGAAAACTTCAAAGATCAGTTGCCTGGACAGTATGAAATCTTCATAAATTTTCGCGGGATGAGAAAAAGTAGAGCCTTTACAGTGTAAAACTCGGCGCTTAACTCGCTGAAACTGTAAGCAGAGCCTTTAGAGTGCAATACTCGGTGATTATTATGATTGGAGTAAATTACAGTTTTGGTACTTGTAGTTTGGTCAAATTAGTACATTCAGTACAAACTTTAGAATTTTGATAAGATACATTATTGTAGTTTACAGATTTGCACTTAATCCATTTAAAAATATGATTTTGCCCTTAATTTTATATATTTCTTTTTCTTTTATATATATATATATATATATATATATATATATATATATATAATTGTTTAAATTTTTTTTTCATATTTTGCCGTTTATATTTTATTTTATTTGTTTACATTTTTTATGATTTATATATATTTTTTAAAATTTTATTTGAATATATGTTTTTTATATTTTGTTCGTTTATATTTTTTTGACGTTTTATTTGAATAATTTTTCTATTTATTTTTTATGGTTTGTTCGAATATATATTTTAATGTTTTTTTTTATATATTTGTGAAGATTTTTACAAATATTTTTTGTATAAAAAATATAAAAAGGTTAGTTAAATGAGAATATGATTAACCCATTTTAGGTATATAATTATTTATTTTTATAAGTTTATTGTATAGACTAACCAAAAATTAAAACGAGTGTCAATGACTTCGAGTTTAATTCTTTGAGTTTCAGAAAAAAAAAAATTTACATTTCCTTACGAATGGAAAATGCTAATCATAATTCATATAACCCAAACACATGTGTCAATGCTTTCGAGTTCATTTTTTATTTTTAGAAATTTTATTCGTTTGCGAGTTATATGGTTTTCCAATTAGCCTTTATATAACTTGAAACCACTTTTTGAATTTCAGTTAGTCTACATATTAATCTTAATAAAAATATAATTTTATACCTAATATAAATTAATAATATTTACATTTAACGAACTTTTTTTTTACATTTTTTACAAAAAATATAAACAAACAAAACATTTAAAAAAATTATTCAAACAATATGCAAAAACAACTAAAAAAATTATTCAAAAATAATATCATAAAAATATAAACGATAAAAATGTAAAAACCATTTTTTGGTCTGTTGTTTGAATTTATTTTTTAATGTTTTTTTTATATCTTTTTCATTTATATTTTTATGATGTTTTTTTTAATAAATTTTTTTAGATTATTGGCGTGTTGTTTGAATACATTCTTTTTGACGTTTTGTTTGTTTATACTTTTTGTAAAAAATATATAAAAAAAATGTCATTAAATATGAAAATTATTAACTTAGATTAGGTATAAAATTATATTTTTAATCAGATTAATAGTTATGCTAACTGAAATACGAAAACGGGTTATATATAGGCTAACAGGAAAACTATATAACTCGAAAACAAACAAAATTTCTAAAAAAATGAAGTCGAAAACATTGACAAATTGTTTGATTTATATGAATTCTGATTAGCATGTTCCATTCGAAACGAAATTTAAAAAAAAAAAAAAAAAAAAAAAAAAAAAAAAAAAAAAAAAAAGTAAAACTAAAAAATTTGAATTCGAAGTCATTGAGACTCATTTTGAATTTCGGTTAACCTATACAATAATCCTATTAAAGTAAACAATTATATATCTAATATGTGTTAATCATAGGGTTAATGTCATAAAAACCCTCAAGTTTACAGGATTTTATCGGTTTTGCCCAAAATTGAATTTTATGTCCATTTTTACCCTAACATTTTCGAAAAAAATGTTCGGTTTTACCTTTTTACCGGTAATAACAGGTTTTTTAGGTTACCAATATATTCAATTCGTAAAAAAAAAACCCTTAAGCTTACCCTTTTTTGCGTTTTTACCCTTAAGTTTATAAGTTTTTTACACTTTTACCCTAAGTATTTATTTCATAATATACGTATTCATGTAGAAAAATCGTATTTATATACGAAAAAATGTTTAATTAAATATTATATTTATATTTTTTAATGTTATATATATATATATATATATATATATATATATATATATATATATATATATATATATATGTTTTTTTGTTTGTGTGTGTGTGTTTGCAAGGTTATACCATTTAAAAAGAAAAATAATATTTTTAGAATTATGAATACGTGTTTTATAGATATAGTTTTTAGAAGTATAAATACATATTTTTACATTATTATATATAAATATGTATATATACTTCTAAAAATATATTTACACTTAAAAAAACATATATCAAAATACATATTTACACTTCTAAGATTATATGTATATACTTATATAAACATGTTTATGATTCAACAAGTTTTTTTTATTGACATATATATTTTTAAATGCATAAAAAATATTTACTTGTAGTTCTAAAAACATATTAATTTGCGTTTTTTTACATCTTAAATAGTTATCCAAGAAAAAACCCATACACACACACACAGACATATATATATATATATATATATATATATATATATATATATATATATATATATATATATATATATATAGAAATAACATTAAAAAATGTAAATACAATACTTAATTAAAAAAATTTGGTATATAAATATAAATTTTCTGCATGAATACATATAATATGAAAAAAAAATACAAAGGGTAAAAGTGTAAAAAATATAAACTTAAGGGTAAAAGCGTAAAAAACTATAAACTTAAGGGTTTTTTTTGCGAAGCTAATATAATGGTAACTTGTTATCACCGGTAAAATGGTAAAACCGAACATTTTTTGGAAAATGTTAGGGTAAAAACGGACATATAATTCAACTTTGGGCAAAACCGATAAAACTCTGAAAACTTGAGGGGTTTTATGACATTAGCCCTTAATCATATTCTCATTTAACTAACATTTTTATATTTTTTATACAAAAAAATATTTACAAAAAGCTTTAAAAAAATATAAAAAACAAAAAACATTAAAGATATGTTCGAACAAAACATCAAAAGAAAAAACTAGAAAATTTATTCAAATAAAACGTCAAAAAAATATAAACGAACAAAATATATTCGAATAAAATTTAAAAAAAAATATATAAATCATAAAAAATATAAATAAATAAAATAAAATGTAATCGGCAAAACACACACACACATACACACACACATATATATATATATATATATATATATATATATATATATATATATATATATATATATATATATATATATATATGAAAAAGAAATGTATAAAAATAAGGATAAAATGGTCTTTTTAAATAGATTAAGAATGTATGGTGTAATTTCTTTAAACGATAAGGATGCATCTTGTCAAATTTTCAAATAATAGATTGAATTTGCAAATTTAACAAAAGACTCTCCTGCCCTCTTCTTTCTTATTCCCTCTCGACCTAAAAAAAAAAAAAAAAAAAAAAAAAAAAAAAAAGATCATTGCTATCTTGCTTCTCCACAACCGCCGACACCTCCTCCTCACAAGATTGGCGTAGTTTTTCCTTCACTCCGACCTCCGCCTTCTCCGGCCAGAGTTGCATCAACAAAGGTAAGCAACCTCTATTTTTTTTTTTTTTTTTAAACCAATAGATCAAATGGATATTCTTCCGTTTTTGTTTATAATGTAAGAAATCAAAATTTGTTGCTTGTATGAGTTATGAAAATTTAAATCAGAATTCTTGTTGGTAGTTTGGTATGTATGAAATCAAAATGTATTGTATTTGTCAAGGTTTGAGGAATTGGTTGAAAAGGTTATTGCAATACATCAATCTTAACTGTTTACATCATTTCAGTTTAGGTATATTACCTAAGATTAATTATGAGTTCTATCACTGCAGATCCTTATCATATCGATGATGATTAAGCTTCTAACAAAATAGATGAAATGGTGGCTGATGATGAATGGAATTGATTTTATATAATGCTATTATGTGGTTATTTTTGGTATAGCCGTATAGCTTTATTGTAATTTCTTGAGTTTGTATTTATACAATCTTATTTCATTCTAATTTATAAATACTTTATTAAATCTAAATTTTGAATGTTGTAATCAAGAATAAAATTTATTGTTACGAACTTATGATACTTGAATTCATGCGGGATGTTGGTGATCTTTGCTCATATACACATACATACATATCAGGTGTTAAATGGAGATGAAGGCTATGATTTTGGAGACTGATATGGAGATAAGGGTAAAATGGTCATTTTTTATTAGTCAGCACATTAGTTAGATGTACAATCAAACAACATGATTTATTACTTAGTCAGGATTTCTTACCCAGTTAGACCTTTCCCAGTCAGCACTTTCTCAGCCAGCAACTATCAAACAGGACCTTAGATAATCCTTCGGGTAGAAGATTCATCCCTACAATGGTTAGAATCAGACAATAGCTGCACAACAGGGTCAAATCAATTACTCTGAGATTATTTATTCCAAATGCAAGTGACTTAGAATCTTTGTGTCCACAAGCTACTCAACGCAAAATCCTAAATAACTACTGTTATCCGGAATACCGGATTCCTACCCAGTTGTTGAGCCAAAGTGCAACCTTACAGTCGCTCCCTGCGACTTCTAAAGAGAACTTCGACAATCGAAATCTGCCCTAATCATATTGCCACTTATGGCTTAATTATTCCATCTGATCATCCCATTCATAACAGTCCAACTACATGTTGTCATTGAATCTAATACGAAAAGTGAATGCTACCAGAACCACTGTAGTCTTACATCACGCCTGGTCTCCAACGACCTACTGTTTCCCAAATCCGACCATATTGTGGCCTACTCACATTCGTGCGACAGACCCGCCCTGGCCTAAATCATCTGAAGGAATCCGTGAGTGAATCACCAATCTATCATATTCTCACTGTCGAAAAGGGATCGATGCTACGGGCCACCCCTGCAGTCTTACTATACCACTATACTAATGGCTAACTAATGAATGCTACGAGCCACCCCTGCAGTCTTACAATGTTTCTACTCTGTCAGTTGACTAATGTTATGGCAACTCCACAGTCTTACAACATTCCCCATGCTATCTAGCCACCGGTGAATGCTACGACAATTCTACAGTCTTACAACACCTTCCATGCTATT